GCAATATATATGACTGTGAATTCTTTGAATAATGTTGACCAAAGTTATAATTATTGGTAACTGCCAGTTGTCTGTGTTTGCCCCGATTAGGACCCCATCGCGGGGATCGACTTATGCACGAAACATACCATTTTGACACGGATTTTAAGGGTCAAGTTTGGGGGTCGTCTTATCCATGGGGTCGTCTTATAGACGGTAATATACGGTATGTCTCATCTATTGATTAACATCTTACGTGTCTTTCTTACAGAAAGTTTATGTTGAAATAATATGTAAAAGAGCATGATACCCATAGAAAGCTTAAATTAGCCATCAGATTAAATGTCTAAAAATATATATGACATGACCACCAAGATCGACAGGACTGGATATTATTTAGTAAATTGTTATGGCATGCTGTTTACTTCCCGAAGTTTAATTCCCCTAAAGGATTATCTCATCTTGTGGATATCTCTATCCCCAGCCCGACCCACCACCACTGTCTCCATACACCCATACTGGTTTTGCTTTTTGAGATGACCCCTCCTAGCTGTTTCTTTTTAGTGGTAGTGAGACTCCAGGGTAGCTTCATCCTTAATAGTTTCAGCATGAAAGTTATTATTCTTTACGTCAGCTATCGTTTATAATGAAGCTAATTTTAATTTCAAAATGGGCATTTAAAAAGTTTCCTATGTAATACAATATCGTTGCACACTAATTTGCATAAATCCATGGTCTGTTCCAAATAAGTCGCTTTCGACTTAGAAAATAACTGCATTGCTCATTTCTGCACTAATCTCTCCTCAGTAAAGACCGTTTTCTACATTTCCTATCTCCCTACCACCGAGACTGTAGTTAGACCAAACCTAGTTTAACAAATATTCCACATTTTCACACATTAACTACATAAATTGTAGATATAAATGCGAAAAACAGGGTTTTAAATTTCCGACAGTACTTTTAACAACACTCTTGAGGACCCCCTCACCATCGCCTGAACAGAACCTTACCTTTTACCCCACACACCTAATATCTACCCATTTGGTAGAAGTGATCAAGAAGTTAGAGTGTGCTGACAGGACAAAATTGCAGTTAGACTTTGGTGCTGCACCACCCAACAGAAAGCGGTGTACAGAGTGACTGGAAATCACCTGAGATGCCTTAAGGACACGTTGGTCCAATGACAGAAAACCCCTATTGAGTTCCTTGATGCAGTTGGTCATCTTCTCAAACTTGGTTAAGAGATTTTGAAACGCAGTAATTTTAGTGCTGTATGTGACAGAGTGAGGCCAGTTGTGACATTAAATTAGTAAACAGTGAATACTGTGTAAAAAGTATTATTGTCTTCATTACAGATTACAGAGTAGCATTGAACTAGTGCAAAAAATTCATTTATACCAGTGCTATGTGAGTAAAGTATTTGAAATAAATTGTTTTCATTACAGTTTTGATGTTTGCCCGTTAGTAATGGAACCAATCATCCATCACGAGATTTCAACCAACTCCCAACACTATCTTTGATTAGAGCCCACGATCAACTAATACCAGGAGATGTACATTTTATACATAGTTCATTAGGTACACAACCTAGGTGAATAAAAACTGTCCACAGGCAGCCTTGCTCGTGGTCATTGAACCATAAAATAAATCTATGAATCTGCCATTTCTGCAACATTGTTGTCGGCTTTTCTCTCTCGCAATTACTATTCATAGATAGCGAGACAGCCTGTCCGTATAAGGTTTTGTCCGTATGGTAGTGACTGTATGAAGAGAAGGGTATGGTCTGATTGAGTAATTTTCTGCCGAATCAGCAGAGCTCATTTGATGAACATTTGCAGGGGTACAGATTAGGGGCGTACAAGCGTAATATACGCCTAAAAATCTATGAAGTACGACATAATATAAGACTTCAAGCGTGTCATGTGCGCACATAAATACCTTTGTACATCTAACATATATGTAAAGTTTAACAGCTGAATAGTGTTTAACAAAACAAATTACTGTATTAACTTTTTTGATATCACATTTCATAACAGCAATTGACGAATGGCTAAGAAATTGGCCAAAATATCATTTTCGATCTGGCTGCAAAGAAGGCCATTTATAAATGGTCAGAAATTGTGTATATTTTTTAAACATCATGGCAAGGGTTATTAAAGAAAGATACACCTTTACCAAGTTCAGTGGCCTTGAGTGACTGGAGTGAGTTTAGTTTTACGCCATTTTTAAGCAATGTTTCAGCAATATCACCGGAAAAGGGCTTCACAAATAGTACTCATGTAGGGAACCGAACCCGGTCTTCGGACGAGAGCGAACAAGCGCTTTAACCACTAGGCTACCCTACACCTAATGACCTTTTGAGGGTTTAGACACAAGGTATAACATGATAAACATATAAGACCGAAAGTTAAAACTAATGACATTTGGTGGACAATGCACAACGCCATAGGCTTACTCCACTTTCATTAGGACAGAGATATAACTGATGTCCTAAAATGTCCATAGTTTCTGACACAAATATATATTATCATTGATTATTTTGCACTTCATGCTTCACTCCTTTACAGTTCACAAGGTACATTATTTCAATAATGGCAACATCAAAAGGTTCTAATCTGAAATATGAATACAGTACACAGTAATTGATATGCAGTGATATGATCACTATATTCAAACAATATTCATCATTTTCAGAAATCTGCATATTTTATACATAGTGTTCATTAGTGGGGCTGTTACTATTCATGTGCATTAAGTGAATCGAACCATATCTCTTCATGTTTATAAATTCAATTCGTAAACACTGGAATCATATTTTCATCAATATATTAAAAGTGTTTCTACTTTAATTTGGGTGTTCTTTATCAAAGCGAGATATGCAAAGGAATATACCCAAGCCAGGCAGGATAACAGACAATAATCTTATATATTTAATTTGAAAGTAATGTACTGACTGGTCATGTCATGTTAAATTTAACTGTTAGTTCGGTCAAAGCATGTCAAATAATATATTTTGCTATTGTTTCACTGAATAATAATACACTGAAGAATTGATGACTTGTCATAGTTTCCCAATATTTGCGACATGTATCACATTTAATAGTCTCTTTACGGATTCATTGTAAGGCCAAATAACAAAAAATGTTGTGTTACATCTCTTTAAAATTTAGGGTTGGTAGACAGAATCTGATAATGCTACTTTTAAATGTATTATATGGAGCATAATGTTCAAATATTTCTCCATTCCTTCAAAATAATGGAGCCTGTGCACCTTAAGAAGACAAGGAACCACTTCACAATACTGATATTTCCACACCCATGCAACATCATCCAACAGCATGCAGCAACGCCTTATTGAAGAACTTGGAATATACCGGTTCCCAGTTGAAAATGTAAGTGCTTTATTGTTTGTTGTTCAACGTCGCACTCAGCAATATTCCAGCTATATAATCGAGTCTGGACCAGACAATCTAGTGATCAACAGCATGAGCATCGATCTCGCTAATTGGGAACCGATGACATGAAATCAACCAAGTCATCGAGCCTGACCACCGATCCTTTAGTCAGCCTCTCATGACAAGCATAGGTTACTGAAGATGAATATTCTAACCCAGACCTTCAATGGTCAGCAATATTCCAGCCATATGTCCCAAACAAGGACCAGACAATCTAGTGATTTACATCATGAGCATCAATCGACACAATTGGGATATGATGGTGAGTATCAATCAAGTGGCGAGTCCGACCACCCAATCCTGTTGGTCAGCTTTTTCTACGAATAAGCATGGGTTGCTGAAGATCAATTAGAAATGGATCTGAAATAGAGCACAATTGCACCAGAAAAGTTCATTCTTTCAGAATATTTACCTCTTTACCGAATGTATACATCAAACAAACTCACCTTAGTTTAAAATATTGACACAAGCAATGAAGCATGTTATAATATTTCTGTTTTATGGTATGTCTATCATCAAATCATGTCCTGATCTGTACATCAAAATTATGCACCTAAGGATGAATAAACGTTCAAATGCATTTCCAGGCCATTGTGTTAACATACATCAGCCTGAAGACCGAATGGTTAGTATATCTGTAGTCCAGGTAACCGCCTTATCAACTGTTTCACTTGTGACCCTAGTGTTTTATCATACCGGGGACCAATTTAAGAACCCCACATTCAACATTTGAAAAGTATCAGATATTTCCTAACTTTATGGTGTTAATTTGACCTACAAACTCAAGAAACATTGCCACAAACATCAGGTCAAACGCCACCTGTATCGTGATAAACCCATACACGTGGTCCACTGGAGTCAAAATGTTCTTACTTAACGCGACTCAGCAATATTCCAGCTATATTACAGCCGTCTGTAAATAATCGAGTCTGGACCAGACAATCAGTGATTAACAACATGTGCATTGAACAATCCAGTGATTAACATCATGTGCATTGAACTATCGACATGTCAACTAAGTCAGCGAGGCCTGATGCCCTGAGTAGGAGTGAAACGGTATTCTAGCGGTATTAGTAAAACCGCAGTATGTTACCTTTGGTTTTGGGTATACATTATTCATTAATGCAATCCAAAATTCGGTTTCGCTCCATCATTTTTTTAACCTTTTAAACCGCTTTCTAAAATCATTTTTGTCAAAATCCACGATTTCTTTGCCAGATGGCTGCTATTTTCTCCTAAGTAAGTTCTCAAATACCTAACAGTAGGGTTGGGTACCACGGCACTTTCAGCACCACGTATACCAAGTTTTTTGGTTATATCATGATATATAAGAAATGAATAAGAAAGCATATGATATCACAAAATTGAATGAAAGTGATGCCAAGACCTATGTTTGGTTTGTAGACTCAAATAATTTTGGCACAGATTGAGCATAATGACTCTCATGGTTGAAATCTCGAACAACACCTTTCCAGAAAATTCTAGTCAGTTAAAGCATGTTTAAACATTGAAACAATGTTCCGACATATTGTCAGTTTTACAGCAAGCTGATCATGCTTACTGAAGTGGAGTAATATTATATCATACAAAGAT